GTGTGACTCATAGGTACCAACATGGAGGTGAAGGTTTTTTTAATTTTTGGTGGGTGGGTTTTTGTTGTTGTGTTTTTTGTTTTGGTTTTGGTTTTGAGGCAGGGTTTTCTCTGGCTGTCCTGGAACGCAGTTTGTAGACCAGGTTGGCCTGGAAGTCGCAGAGATCTGAGGCCTCTGCCTCCCAAGTGCTGCTGTTAAAGGCGTGTACTACCGTCACCCAGTGAAGGTGGATTTTTGTTCCTTAAGCTTTATTGTGAAAATTCTACCTGTGTTATGGAGTAGAAAGAATGATTGTGGAGATCTTGTTGCTGGTGTTGAGTTTTCTTAATAGTACATTTCTTTGAGCATGACTTCCTGATTTGTGGTTGAACTTGGAATCTGACCCAGCCAGGCATGCATTGGTATGTGAATACCTACACACGTCCCTGACTTCCACTTGTGCTTTTTATTCCTGTTTCAGGTGGAGCTGGAGGCAGTGTCCCTGGGATCGAGAGGATGGGCCCTGGCATTGACCGCATTGGCGGTGCTGGCATGGAGCGCATGGGCGCAGGCCTAGGCCATGGCATGGATCGAGTGGGCTCTGAGATTGAGCGTATGGGCCTGGTCATGGACCGCATGGGCTCAGTTGAGCGCATGGGCTCCGGCATCGAGCGCATGGGCCCACTAGGTCTTGACCACATGGCCTCCAGTATTGAGCGCATGGGCCAGACCATGGAGCGCATTGGCTCTGGCGTGGAGCGCATGGGTGCCGGCATGGGCTTTGGCCTGGAGCGCATGGCCGCGCCCATTGACCGAGTGGGCCAAACCATTGAGCGCATGGGCTCTGGTGTAGAGCGGATGGGCCCTGCCATTGAGCGGATGGGCCTGAGCATGGATCGCATGGTGCCCACAGGCATGGGGGCCGGCCTGGAGCGCATGGGCCCTGTGATGGATCGTATGGCCACCGGCCTGGAGCGTATGGGCGCCAACAACCTGGAGCGCATGGGCCTGGAGCGCATGGGCGCCAACAGTCTGGAGCGCATGGGCCTGGAGCGAATGGGCGCCAACAGTCTGGAGCGTATGGGCCCTGCTATGGGCCCGGCATTGGGCGCTGGCATTGAGCGAATGGGCCTGGCCATGGGTGGCGCTGGAGGTGCTAGCTTTGACAGAGCCATTGAAATGGAGCGGGGCAACTTTGGAGGAAGCTTCGCAGGTTCCTTTGGCGGAGCTGGAGGCCATGCACCTGGAGTAGCCAGGAAGGCCTGCCAGATATTTGTGAGAAATGTAAGTGGTTCTTCAGGAGCTCATTAGCGTTGTTGTGAATGCGGTAGTGGGGAGTCAGTGAATTGAGTGACGTAGACCAGAGGGAAGTCTGCAGAAGGGAGACTTGGTAGCATGGGGAGTACAGCTTGCCCATCCCCAAAACTGGGATGAAGGTTGAGGGTTTATAGGAAGAAATAGTCCCAGGGCCAGGCGTAGTGGCCCATTCCTTTAATCCCTGCGCTCTGGAGGTAAGGGATAGGTGGCTCTCAGTGAGATCCATGCTAACAAGAGCTACCAAGTGAGACCTTGTCTCAAATACAAAGAAACAAAAATATGTCTGGCATTTGCCTATGTTGTGCAGGGCAGTAGAGTAGACTGAGCTATGAATGTCTGTGGTTTCTGAGTCCCTTGGCTTGAAGAACACTTACGTCTTGGCACAGTGATTCAGAGAAAGGTGGTTGTGATAGAATTACATTTCATCACTGAATTGTGGGTTGCTCACTCAGCTCTTAGGACATCCCCATAAGCTAGAGACTTCTTTTGTCCCTGATTGTCATAAAGGGGGCAGCCTGTCTCTGATGAAAAGTAGAGGTTTTTTGGAGTTGGCGGGACTACTGGGAATTATATCTAGGGCTGTACACATACTAGGCAAATCACCCTACATCTAAGCTACACACCCAGCCCTAGAGAACCTTCAAGTCATATTCTTGTATCTATTGTGATGTCTGTACATTGAGACTTGATTGCATCACAGATCAGTTTGCCTCTTTTTTCCTCAGCTCCCATTTGATTTTACATGGAAGATGCTAAAGGACAAATTCAACGAATGTGGTAAGTGTCTGAGAAAGGCTCTCTGTGCATTCCTGTGTTGTGGCTTGTTGGTGACGCCATTGAGTTAGAACAGTGACGCTTCCTTCTTAGCCTTAACCACTGTCCATGGGCTCTAGAGCACCAATGGGCCTTGCCATTGTTCTGCCTCTGCAGGTACTCAGGCAGGTGTTGGGTGTCCAGGTATGTGTCATGCTCTGTGCTGCTTTCATCCTTGCTGTACTTTTCTAGTTAGTTTTTTGAGACAGTCTCTCTGTCACTTATAGCCTAAGCTGCATTTGAGTTCATAATTCTTTTGCCTCTGCCTTCCATGTTTTGGAACTCCAGGCAAATGCCACCATTCCTGTTTTCTCAAGAGTTTCTGAGAGGAGGTAGTATTGTCGCCTTTCTAATGTAAGAGCTAGCAAAGCTACCTTCCTAAATAAGAGGCAAAAACAAAAGAAATAAACCTGAGACAAGTTGCTTTCCCCCATGAAGCCCATAGCTGATTTGGTTCCCCAGAGCACTCATATGCTCAGCAGTTGTAGGTCTGAGCACACACCGTGGAGTGAAAGTCTCTGTGGATTCATAGGCACACTAGGCAGTCTTTCTGGAAAACTTCCTTGGTGACTGAGATGCAGTCCTCCCCTGCTACCATTTCTCCAAGGTCTGGGATGGTTGCTCGATCAAAACACCTGTTTCCTCATTCAGAAGTTACTCACACTTTAGTGTTCTTAGTGCGTTCTCCTGGTTCTTTGGGGCAAGCTATAGAGTCAAAACCCTTCTTGCCTGGTTCTTTGATTGTCTCCATTGCAAATTTCACACCAGCCATGTTGTAACTAGATATTTCAAAAACTCAAAATGGAACATGCCACTCTCGGCCACCTCTGAGAAAATGCAAACTCAAAAGCTTCTGGAAACTTGGTTCCATCTCCCTACTACCCTTGAACCTGTGACATTCTCTGCTTTCCTGCCAAATTACCTTCCCCTTCTCTTTTTTTCGTCTCCTTTTCTCTTTCTCTTTTTGAGATAAGATCCAACTAGCCCTATTTGCTGCACATTCATTGTGTAGCCAAGGATGATCTTGAACTCTTAGAGCTTTTTTGTTGTGGTGGTGGGTTTTTTGTTGTTGTAGGGGTTTTTGTTGTTGTTGTTGTCTTTTTTTTTTTTTTTTTTTTTTTTTGAGATTGGGTCTCTTAGAACTCACACTGGCCCTTAAACTCACTATTATGTAGCTGAAAATAACCTTGAACTTTTAGTCCTGCTTTTAACTCCTGAATGCTGGGATTACAGAGGTGTGCTACCATGCCTGGTTTGTGTAAGTGCTGGGACTCAAACCCAGGGTTTTGTGTATGTTGGGCAAGTACTGTATCCACTGAGCTATATCCTCAGTGACCTTTTCCTACCTTCACCTCCTAAGGGCTGGGATTACAGGTGAGCCATCTTTCCATTCTCCTTTCTGTCATCCCTCTTTTAGTTCTGTCTTGTCATTCCCTTCTTTTGAGCCTGGGTCTTGCCATGTAGCTCCAGTCTGGCCTAAAACCGGAAATACTGCTGTAGTCTCCCAAGTGCTGGGTTGCAGATGTATGCCATTGTGTCTTGCTCTAGCAGGAATGTTTATTCTGATGAATTGCTACTTAATATCTTTCAGAATTTTATCATCAGAAGCCACTGGAGTATCATCTCTACCCAAGCCATTAGTAGCACAAGAACTATGGGGTCTGGCACCACTAATGCTCTTACTCTGTTATAGACCCGTTTCTTTTGTACTTGACACATACCTGGGTACTTAATAGGTCTATGAATATGAATATGTAAGCTGCTCACTAAGTGTAACTGGTTTACATTGGTGCAGTATAGAAAGAAGTATCATATTGGCAGTGACCTTGTGACCAGATGGTGGTATTCAACAAGCCTCTAGAACGCTAAAGTTGGCTCCACATAGTCCCCTGTCTGTGTAACTTGTTGGAGCATTAAGGCAAATGCTTGAATCTGCTTAGCAGGTTAGGCTGTTGTCCTGTTTGGAGAACAATGGCAATATAGTGGAGGGGGCTGTAGTTGCTGGCGCCATATGTGGTGTTCTGAGCATTCACTTCATATGCAAGGGCCTCTCTCCTTTTTGACTCTGTCACCAAAATCCAACAGGTGATCTGGACTGAGTGGAGCCCAGACTGAGGCTGAGCTCTGGGTTTGCCTGATGCGTGTGGTCTCTTCTTCCCTCCCTGTGCCAGGCCACGTGCTGTACGCCGACATCAAGATGGAGAACGGAAAGTCCAAGGGGTGCGGTGTGGTTAAATTTGAGTCTCCAGAGGTGGCTGAGAGAGCCTGCCGGATGATGAATGGCATGAAGCTGAGTGGCCGAGAGATTGATGTTCGAATCGATAGAAACGCTTAAGCAGTTGCCTTTTTTAAACATCAATACCAGACCTCTGAATTTGTATTTTTTCTTGTTAACCATTTTAATTTGTTGGCTGGATGTATAAAGATGTTTAAAAAATTCAGTTGCTTTTTGGGGTAATTTGAATTAATTTTTTAATGAGTGGGGTTCCATTTGATTGTTTGCATTGAGATTGCAATGTGTGCAATTTTTTTTGTAGTTGTGGCATCTTGTTGACATCGAATATGACTTTGATAATAAATACCAGTTCCTGAAAGTGGCTTGATTTTTTTGTGTATGTTGTAGAGGTGGCCATCTGAGGTTTATGGAGCTGGGGCAGCTTATACTGCTTCCTTCCTCAGAGCTGTGACCTCCAGGGATCTCACCCTATAGAGCCCCGGTGTTTGGAGACACAGTTCCTGGTCATCCAGGATATGTGTGGGTGCATCCTTAGTAGCTCCTTTCCTATTGAGCAAGCAACTGATTGTTCTTTCTCTTCACTTTGGTAACTAGCATGTGCCTGTGTTCTATTGTGTGTGTCAGTCAGGAAGGAGGAAAAAACAAGAAGCAAGGATGTTTTAAAGAGGGGTTTTATGTGGGCATGTGTACTTGGGCATCTGTTTGCCGGGCTGGGATCCAGGGCTCCTGAGAGAACAGTGACTGGACTGGTAGTCCTGGAACCCACCTTTATCTGCCTTACTGTCCTTGAGGAAACAGTTGGGTGTCCAGAGGATCTGCAAGAAGGATGAATTCAAGTGATTCCCTATGCCACAGAGGCATGATAACAAGCATCTCCATGGGAGTCACTGTACATACCCAAGAAGCTGACGTCATCATATACTTCCGTTTCCCTGGCAGAGAACACAGTATAGTCAGTAGTGGTCAACCCTGGTGCTCCCCATACCACCCAGGCAGGACCAACACTTACAAGGGTAACAGTGCAGTTCTGGGTACATAGCCATCTGCGGGGGAGAGTAGACAGTGGATTCTCAACCCTAGCATACCTCACTCCTTTCCCTAGACGTAGGCCAAACACACTTACACTTGCCCTTGGGGTCCCGGCACAGCATCTCATCCTTATTAGTAAACTCAATCACCTCCAGGATCTCTCCACGTCGGATGCCCAGGTGCTTGCCACCCCCACGCCGGGTCTTGGCATTGGGGTCAATCATCATCTTTGTGTGGATCACGATCTCACCTTCAAACTTGGGGAACATCATGTTAAGACTTTGTATTTCTGCAGAACGGAAGTCCTGGGCCCTGGGTACCATTATCTCCCAGGACTCACTCTTTGCTCCATGTTCTCACCTTGAACTTCTTTCTAAACTCTCTCTCAGCTTTCTCTGCCTTCCTGATCTGTTTCAGCAGCTTGGGGTCTGTGGATAGCGACTGCTGGGGCTGACTGGCATTCTTCCTGGAAGACCCAGACATTGGGTATTATTTATGAGTAAGAAGTGTCCTCTACCAGAGTCCCAGAGCTCAGTCCAGCCCCCTAACACCCCGGCTGCCCCATGTACCTGAGCTCTGTGTCCTGCTGAGGCAATCTGGTGGCTTGCTGGGTAGACTGCACTTCATCTGAGGACATTGGACAGAGTCAGGACAAAGGCTTTTTCAGGGTTCATCAGTTCTTGTGGATAAGGTTCACTTCGGTGAGGAAAATAAAGGATGGGAAGTTGGTCGACTGTCTAAGGCTACCCAGCTAGTTAAAATTGTAGAGATGGGATGGATTTGTAGATCTTGGTTTTTGGTCTCACTATATAGACCAGGCTGGCCTGGAACTGAGATCTCCAAGTGCTGGGGTTAAAGCTGTGATCACTATGACCAGCCCACAAGTTGTAGACTTTGGGAACCATTTTGCTTCTGCCTCCCAGAATATGTTGGGAGTTGTAATAAGATTTTTGGATTCAGAGCTTAAAAGCAAGCATTCTCTTACAGCATCCATAGCTTGCCTCTAAGGAGGAACAGCCAGGGTAGGGTTCTTTGGTTGGATGGTTTTTTTGAAGACAAGGTTTCTCTGTGTAGCCCTGACTGTCCTGGAACGAACTCTATAAAACAGGCTGGCATTGAACTCAGGTCCGCCTGCTTCTGCCTCCCCAGTGCTGGGATTAAAGTCATGTACCACTACCACCTGGCCATGGTGGGTTTCTTAGCCTGAACCTTCTGCTACCAAGTCTCGACCTGTACCACTTCCCAGCAGTAAGCCAGGCTTCCAACTGTTGGTTGAGGGCAATAGCTTCTTAAAGATGGAGATTAGTGAGGGCCTGAATCAGAGGCCCCATTTTGTTAATGACCCAAACATCACTTTGGGCCAACTGTCCTTTCTGGTGAGTAGCCCACCTGTCATACTGAGTGCTGAGCTTGGTCTCTGCTCTCTAGGCAGAGATCTGGGTCCTATCCAGAACTGCACCTGCTTTTCTCATGATCTACCTCAGCCTTGAGTGCTCTCACAGCTAGAAACAAACTTGACTGTGGTGACAATACTGGGTCCTGTGGTTCTGAGATCATCCTACAGCTTGTTCTAAGCAGGCCAATGATAATCTTCCTGTTGGTCTACACACAATTCCTGGAAAGACTGGACCCAACCCTCCAGGTGAGTTCCCTGCTGAAAAAAGATGTAGGGGGGCTGCCATGTTCCAAAGGAGCCCAAGAGTAGGAGGGAGGAGCTGGTGGTCCCAGAGCACTCTAGTACTAGAAAAATGACTCTGAAATGCACAAAGCAGCCTTCTGAGAGGCTGGGCCCACAGGAAGGCTCACACATTGCACTAAAAGGAGAAACTTAGATGGGTCTGGTATTTTTGTGGTTACTGAAGCAGTGTATGGGGTGGTGGGGAATAGTCTATTAGGTTCTACAAGTTCTAACTCTGACCAGCCTCTGCAAAACTGACAACCCCCCCTTCTCCAAATAATAGAGCATCCCCTCATCAGAAGCAAACAAAAGGCCCAGAAAGGATCAAAGGCTGGAGAATTTGAAGGCATCTGGCTTTGTACCTAGACTTCCTGATGGGACAGTGAGCAAGCATATCCGAAGACCAAAAGCCCCTCCTAGGAACCCCAGCAAGACAGGGAAGGAATAGCTAGGGAAGGGAGGGCTCATTTGGAATCACCACAACTCTAGACTGGCTGGGCCTAGTCTCAGATCCTTCAACTTCCTCGTTGGTAATGAGGTAACTCTTGGCTGTGGCTGCAGAATCATCAAAGCTCTTTCATAGAAGGCCCGTGTTATGGAGACAGCAGTCCTGGAGCCCCTCAAGAAATTGACTTAGAAGACAAGGAAAGAACCTTCTGCCGCACTGGCTCCAGCCCACCCATACATCTTCCTGAGACATCCTCTTGGGATGGGCTTCAAGGAACCTGGTGGGTGGGGGTTGCTTTGGTTTTGTTTGCATGGTCTCATCTGGTCCAGGCTGGTCTTGATTGCTGAGTAGCCAGGGATGATGATCCTGACTCCCAAATGCTAGAGTTGCAGCTTTGTAATTAACCTTACCCAGCTTTGGAACCTGATGCCACGCACCATCTGACTCATTCCCTGCCTGATACGCCACCTAGACTGGTTTGCCAACTTTGATTTCTGCAATTCTTCCATTGCTGTCCAGGACTTTTGTCACCTCACTTGACAATGCTGCCTATAATAGCAAGCCTGGCTGGTTGGGTGTCTCTGGGCTTCCTCTTCCTCACCATCTGGCCCACCTGGATCCAGTCTAGTCTGGGTCACTCTGGTCTTAAGAGAAAGCCTTTGCAACTGATACTGAATGGGTGTTCAACCACCTAAACCATCTACAAACCTCTGCCTCTGGGGCTGAGACTGGAGTCACCTGTGGCCTCCACAGCATCATAGAGCTCATAGATCTCGTCCAGGTTCCTGCAGAGATAGATACCTGAGATAAGGGCCTCCTTTAGCCTTGCACCCATGCCTGGCCCCTTTCCCCTACACTCACTGTGAGATATGTTGAGGTTGTTGGGCTGGGAAGTGGGTCCCAGAAGAGCTGGTCTTCAGTACAGCTGTAGAGGAGAGAACATGGGAGGGAAGTGGCCCCGCCCAGAAATTTTACCCCTCCTCTCCCTAAATCACTTACCCTAACTCACCTGTAGCTGTTGCTGAGGCTCTCCGGAAGCTTTGCATATTGATGGGAATAGGTGGTAATGGGGGCTTAGCTGGGGGGGATCCCAGGCTGCTAGTTGAGGGCAGAGGTCGCCTACGGGGTGGGTGCCGGGTTTGGAAGTCTTCTGGTCTCCAGCGGGGTGTCCCAGGGACTCCATACCCAGGGCTGAGAGGGAAATGGGGGCTGGAACTGGCAAAGGCAGAAGGCAGGGAGCACTCCGATACTGAACCGGGAAGCTTGGGCTTTCTGGGCAGAGCCTTGGGAAAGTCAGGCTGGAAGAACTTTCCATGTTGAGGCTGCAGAAACTTCCTGGGGAGTGAGCTGAACTCAGGCTCCGAGGATGTTCTAGGGAGATGACCCAGTTCTGGCTGCGATGGCTTCTTAGAAAGGACTTTGAGGTCCGGCTGCTGAGGCTTCTTGGGATATCTGCGGACTTCGGGCTCCGAAGATGTCCTGGTAAGGTCACTTAGCTGGAGCTGTGGATGCTTCTTGGGAAATGCATGGAAGTCCGGCTGTGGGGAGTGAGATGGGGGGTTACATGACTCAGGCTTCCAGGGTGGTGTCTGGGAGACCTCATAGGACATGGACTGCTGTGGAGTCTTCTTGACTTTCTCACTGAATTCAGACTGCAGGGACTTCTTGGGAAAGTTGCTGACTTCGGGCTGTGGGGAGCGAGGGTAAAACTCACTGGACCCAGGCTTGGAGAGAGATGTCTGAGGAATTTCGCTGGGCTCTGACTGTGTCAGGGACTTCCTAGAGAAACCAGCAGCCTGAGGCTGCAGTGACTTTTTGGGAAAAGTACTGGACTCAGATGGCAAGGGCTTCAGAGGGGCCTCACTGGACTCTTGCTGCCAGAACTTCTTGGGGACTGTGATAGGTTTGAGCTCTACTGCAGGCCTGGCAGGATTGCTGATCTCAGGCTTCTGGGACTTCTGGGCAGGTACGGTAGGCTCCTGAGGTGCCTCAAGTAGTGGAGACTTCTTGGGGAGATTAGTGAACTCGGATTGTGAGGCCTTGGGGAGGCTGGCAAATTGGGGCTCTGGGGGCGTCTTGGAAGCTGTGAGCTGGACCTGTGAGGGCTTCTTGAGACCAGTGAACTCTGGATGTAGAGGCTTTCTTGGGAGATCTTTGAGGTCAGACTGTAGGGGCTTCTTGGGTAGCTCAGTGAACTCGGGCTGCGGTGACTTTCTGAGAACCTCTGACGGTGAGGGCTTCTTGGGGAGGTCTGCAAACTGCAGCTGCAGGGGTTTCAAGGACACTGACCCGAGCTCAGCCTGTGAGACCTTCTTGGGCTGCTCACTTAACTCAGTCTGTGGAAATTTCTTTAGGAGTTTGTTGAACTCAGGCTTTGGGGTTTTTCTGGATGGTTCTCCAGGCTCTTGCTGAGAGGCCTGGAACTTAGCTTGGAGGTTTCGGAAGTCCTGATTGCTTCCCTAGGAAGACATAGCTCATTCAGGAAGAGTCTCATACAAGAAGGCATATGGAGGAAGAGCTAGGTACCCACAGTTGGTCCTAGACACAAACCCATCACCCTCCCCTTCCCTTCAGCTTCCATTTTACCATTGCTTCCTCCCCAACCTCAGTGCTACCTCAGCCAGCTTCTCTTTTTGGGTAAGAACTGTTTCTGGAAGCCACACCCTCCTGACTCCAACTGAGTTAAATCTAACTTATCTCTAACAGGACCTAGCCCCCGATGCCTCTACTAGCCCATGGCCCCCACATGGTACTTCCAGTTGGTGATGCCTTCCCAATATTTTCAGCCTTTGGGCCTTCTGCTCCCTGTTGGTTCCCTCTTTGTCCCCTGCCTAACCACCAGGTTCTCCCAGTCCCTTTTGTTCCGATTTCAAAATACATCCGGAATTCAACCACTACTCACTGTCGCCTTGGTTGGAGGAACTGTCCCCCACAGCCCAGAGTACTGTTGTAATGCGCTCCTCCCAGGACTGCTGCCCTATAGGAGGCCTGCTAAGTCTCCCATTCCCATCCTCAATGAGTTTTCATGTCTCCAAGGAAAGCAAACAGTTCCTGAATGACTCAGCAACATCTCATTGCCTCTGTCCTCTCTGTAATACATACACCTCAACACGTGGGTCTCTCCTTTCCTCCTCCATGTCTTTGTGACAATACTCCTTAAGAAGACAACCCTATTTTAAATCAGTTTCCCTCCCCAGTTGCCCACCTTCACCGCCCTGCGTAACTGTTCTCTTTGTATCTCCCGTCACGTATCAAATTTCTTATATTAGTTCTGCTGTATGTGAGGCAGGCTCTCATATATCCTGGGCTGGCCTCAAATTTGTTAGGTAGCTAAGGATAATGAACTCCTGATCCTCCTGCCTCTTCCTCCCATGTGCTGGGATTACCAGTGTGTGCCACCATGCCTAGTTTGACTAAACTGTTATAATTTTATTGAGCGGGGGTGGCTGGAGATATGGCTCAACAGATTAAGAGCACGGACTGTTCTTCCCAAGTACCCAGGTTCAGATCCCAGCACCCACATTGCAGCTCATGACTATCTGTAACTTCAAGATCTGACACCCTCACACAGACAAATATACAGGCAAGACACTGATGCACATAAAACAATAAAAATATATTTTTTTAAAAATTTGGGAGGCTAGAAAGATTGCTCAGTAGGCAAAGTACTTGGCAAGCGAGCCTGAGTATCCGAGTTCTATCCTCAGTACAGAGCAGCACCTGTAAATCCTATCTCTGGAGAGGCCCAGAGGGAAGGCCCTCTAGGGCTTGCTGGCCAGGTAGGCTAGCTAAGTCATCAAGCCCCAGGTGCAATTAGAGGCCCTGTCTCCAAAAAAGAAGGTAGAGAGTCATCAAGGAAGATCCAACCTTCACACACATGTACACACATAGGCTGCCTACTTTAGCCCCTCTAGCTCAACAGTAACCTCCCAGTGCCTGGCACATAGTAGGTACTCAGTGAAAAGTGAAAGTTTTACAGAAATAAAAGTGCATGCAGAACTACAAGCACAGGCATACATTCAGTCTAAGATGTGGGTATACACAGGGACTCACAAGCCCCCCATGAGAACCATCAGGCATACATTCAGTCTAAGATGTGGATATACACGGGGACTCACAACCTCCCATGAGAACCATCAGGCATACATTCAGTCTAAGATGTGGGTATACACAGGGACTCAAAACCCCCCCATGAGAACCATCAGGCATACATTCAGTCTAAGATGTGGATATACACGGGGACTCACAACCTCCCATGAGAACCATCAGGCATACATTCAGTCTAAGATGTGGATATACACGGGGACTCACAACCTCCCATGAGAACCATCAGGCATACATTCAGTCTAAGATGTGGGTATACACAGGGACTCAAAACTCCCCCATGAGAACCATCAGGCAGGCTCTCCACCTGAGCACATAACTTCCCCAGTGCTCTCAAAGCTGGCCATTTGCCATAGGTTACAGATATAGGTAGATACACAAGACAAGGCCGTTTATGAGGAGTCTCCCAGCCTGTCTTCACCGATGTTCAGGAAGATTGGTGGGGGGAGGGGGCAGAACCTTGTGAGCCTGTCTGAGATGGAGGAATTCAGAAGCACCCTTGAAGGAAGCAGTTCTTGTTTAGACTCAGATGCCTTTGTTGAAGTCCTAGTGAGTTTAGGCATCAGCTCCAAATGAACACAGGGTTAAGGATAGCTTGGATGACTGGCTGGGGCTGGGGGGCTGGGGCCCCAGGTGCATGATCCACTTAATCACCACACAGGAAGCCTCTGCTCTCATCCCAGATGCTGACCTGGGGTGAGGGGATATCATTCTAGGCAGTCCAACCTGCTGCTCTTGCAGTCACAGATCCAAGCCTGGTCCACAAGAGCTCAAGCTATGCCTTGGCTGTTCTCTACTTTTGCCTGCGCGATTTCATCCCCAAGACTGTTGCCAGCTCTATTCTGCCAGCCTACCCATGGGGGCATATCTACCAGTTGCCCTGTTTTCGCCTGTGCCCCTGGTTTCCTGACCAGAATGGAATTCCACTGGGGGATTGGGGACTCACCATAGCTTCAGCCGGTGATGGGTCACAGGGTGAGTGGGCTCTGAGCTTAGGCTGCTGCTTGAAGGAAGTATCTGTGGTTTCTGTTCCACAGGCTGACACACCAAGTAGGGGCTCTCAGGGTGGGGAGGGCAGAGGAGGAAGGAGGCGGAGATGGCCTGTCTGTCACACCCCCCCCCTGAGTTCCTCCCTGCCTACTACTGTCCCCAAGCTCAGGTCAACAGACCTAAGCACATCTCTAATACACATAGTTACTAGCTGTCACTAGTCTCTTTACTCTTACCACTGTAGGGTCTTGATGGGCTTTGTCTCCAAAGAAGTAGGCCAAGCCCAAATTCAGGACAACCATAGGAACAGAGCACCTGAGTGTGGATGTTACGGTTTGCTCTGGGGCTTAGGTAAAGAGTTAGAGCTAGGATATGGCTGGTGCAATGGTGAGGACATAGCTGTCCTGTGTTGCTTCATCTACCTTCCTTGTTTCAATATGTGTACTCTCAACAGGACTTCCCTGTTAAGGTAACAAATGCCCCCACTAGCCCAGCTTTAGATAGCCACCCAAAGCACAAGGCTCAACTGGGATAACAAATTTGGGGGGTGGGGGTGTTAAAGACTGAGGCGAGGGACTATCATTCCCAGTGATTAAAGGAAGTAGAGAGGGGAGAAATCTGAAAACTGGGTTGCAGAAAAATGGAGAGTCCAAGGTAGATATGGGTAAAAAAGAGCCCTGAAGTCAGGATTCAGTCCACAGGAACAAAACACTCTACAGATGACAGAGATGAGTCCCAGTTTAGAAACAGAATAGAATCTCTTGAGCTGTTAACAGAAGGATTCTGACTTCACCGCTCTGGAGTGTGGTCTGAGCATGAGGATTGTTTGGACCATGGCAGGGTGGTTCCAGTGCACGGGTGAGTATGGGTTGATATCTTTGGAATCATCGTGATACACAAAGCGCATGTTCTAAGCCCCTGGAGTAGTGGTGCATTTTTGTAATCCCAGCAAAGATAGTGGGTTCACTACAAATCCAAGGCTAATCTACCCAGTAAGTTTCTGGCCAGTCAAAGTTACATAGACCCTGATTCAGAACATTAAAAAAAACTGGCCCCCAAAAGTGTATGCACTAGCCAGGTGTGGTGGCATACATCTGTAATCCCAGTCCTTTGGAGGCTGAGAGCAAGAGGATCTTAAGTGCATGGCCAGCCTCAGGCTACAAAGTTGAGACCTTTGTCAGCAGGGCATTGTGACTTTATCCCAGCACTTGGGGACCAGTCTGGTCTATATAACAAATTCCAGGACAGCCAGGCTACACAGTGAGACTCTGTCTCGAAAAATAAAAAAGTTGAGACCCTGTTGAAGCAAAATAGTGTAAAATAAATCTGAGGTTTTAACTCTGTTGGTAGAGTACAGCAGCACTTGGGGGCACACGCCTTTAATCCCAGCACTTGAGAGACAGAGGCAGGTGGATCTCTATGAGTTTGAGGCCAGACTCAACTACAGAGTGAGTTCCAGGACAGCCAGAGCCATGTAGACCCAGTCTCAAAAAACAAAAAACCCCACAAAAACCCAACACTTGGGAGAGACAGAAGCATCAGAAAGCCCATCCTGGTTTACATAGTGAGTACCAGTCCAGCAAGAGACACATAGTGAAAGCCAGTCTTAAAAACAAAATGCATGTTTTGGCTTAGGTGACAAGTCTGCTATTGGGTGGTGTGAGACTGACGGAGTAGCAAGAACGTGTGTAGCTCTTGGGAATGAACCAGATGAGGTTTCATGATTTTATTTAAACAGAACTCTCAGACAGGGAGACAGCCTTCTCTGTTTTAGTACACACATCAAGATTCTGGCGTATCTGAATTTCCACATTGGGTCATAATTCTCTGAGACTGATCTGCATTTTCAGGAGTCCTAAGTAGATAGGGAAAACCAAGTCTGGGTTTGTGAGTCTCCAGAATCATGGTGAGTGGAGTCAGAAGCAAGGATATGGAAGAAGCCACACCTATAGTCCCAGCAGCTGGGGAGGGTGAGGCAGGTGGATCACAAATTCAATTCAGGTCTGATATTGAGTGGAGATCCAGCCTCACAACAGAAAACAATGGGCCAGCGAGATTACTGGGGTTGTGGTAGTAAAGCCACTTGCTATATAAGCTGGATGACCCAAGTTTGATTCCTGGAACCCACATAAGGTGAGGGGAAGAACCAACTTCACAGCAGACACATGCACATGCACAAACATGCATACACATACACACAGCATACATACATTGGCCAAAAAAGCACACCGTAGGCAATCAGGGCCAGCACAAGCTAAAGACCTAAATGACAACTGGGGATCCCCCAGGGTGACGACTGTGGAGCCTGGGGGACTGGGCAAGGGTGTGTTCAGGGCGGCCTGTAAGCTCTCAGCTTGGCCACAGGGACCGACCCACTCTTGACTGGCATGACTGTAACCGGACAGGTGGCTCTAACTGAGCTATGGAGCCAGAAGCCAAAGAAATGTTGCAGTGTGCCTGGAGTAGATTGGAACTTTTTGAAGGAGGGAGTGCGCTCAGGTTACTGAGATGCACGAGCTGGCATCTGGGGCCACGGCTGCTCTCCACTTCTTTTAGCCGGGGTAAAGATAAGCAATCTGGTATCTCTCAGGTGCCAACTGTTGGTGGAAATTGCCTAGCTGTGCCCTGGCACCTTGCCCTCCAGGAGTTGCCTGGTCTTTTCAAGTCAACCTCTGGCTCTGAGCAGCTGCACAGGTGCGCACCCTTGGGCCTCCTGTCCTTCCACACTGACAGTCTAGGGTGCTCCCTGCTGGAAAACTGAGGCACTAAGATGACTTCATTTTTTTTGGCTGTCTGGGAGTTGGGGACAGAACTCTTGTAGGGTCCCAGCTTGAGCAGGAGGTGAGGGATTATGGGGTTCAGAACGAGCAAGGTGGGGGTGAGGGTGAGGGCGGATCAGCAAAGCTTCTCAGAAGAGCAAAGGTTGGGCATGCGTAAAGCAGGGAGGATAGGCAGGTGGTTTGGGTAGTCAGTGGGGTGCCCTGGAAGGTCTAGTTTCCTGATATCTGATCCTCAATGCTCAGTTCCTGGGATGAGAATTGCTGAGCAGACATTTCTCAAATTCCCTAGTCTCCCCCTAAGTGCCGAGCACAATGACTCCACTGTGTGTGCGTGATGTATGCATCTGTGTAGGTGCATGAATCTGTGCTTGTGTTTGCAGAGGCCAAAGGTTGCCACCAGGTGTCTCTATCCTCCAACTTGATTGAGACAAGGTCTCTCACAGAACCTGAAGCTCACTCTTTTGTCTAGCCTGGCTGGCCAGGAAGCTCCAGGTATCTACCTACCTGTCTTATCTCTACTTTCCACTAATCACTTGTTATTTATTCTTTTACTGCAGCTTAATAAACTCACTCATTCAAAACCAAAAGTGTTACTGCTGTAATTCAGTCTCTAGATTCTACAAATGGTGATGACGGATAAAGAGAAGACAGGAGGGCTGTGACAGGGATGTAGGGCCTGGAGGACCTAGCTCAGCAGGTGACTGGTGTCTTGGCTGCAGATACCAGGACAAAGAGGTGACAAAGGATAATTCTGATTCAGAGTTAGGATACAAGTGGTGAGTGGGACAAGGTGGGGTGGAACTAAGGAGGCCTTCGGGTTTTTCTTCTCCAGATTCTCGAGTTTCCCAGAAGCAGCAGCTATGAAGAGTAAGGCCATAGATGAAGATGGGGAGATTTGAGAAGCCCTGTGGGCTACTAGAACAGGATCTGTGTTTGTGTTTAGTGTGTGTGTGTGCGTGTGTGTGTGTGTGTGTGTGTGTGTGTGGAGGGTACACATAACCATGCCCACACCTGTGGAGACCTGGCTGGTTAATACAGGATGTCTTCCTCAGTCACTTCACTGTCTTTTGAGATAGGTCTTTCAACAGAATTTTTAACTCAGTGTTTTGGCTAGATTGGCTGGCCACTAAGGCCTCAGGACCTGGCTGTCTCTGTCACCCTATCCTACCCCCCTACCGCCCACCCCCGTTCTGGGTTACAGACACATGCCACCATGCCCACTTTTAAAACGGGTGCTGGGAATCTGAACTCAGATCTTGCTTGTACCTAGTACCACATCTCCCCAGCCCAGTAACAGGAGTCTTTGTCGGATGGGGCCATTGATGAGCACTGGTGAAAGACCGCGTCTATGGGTTCTCAGACAGTGATAGGAGGGGATGCCCGAGCTAGACATAGAGGCACGGCCAGTCTGGCTCTGGAGCAGAAGCAAGGAACCACATTCTCTGTGTGTTTCTGTCTCCCGTGTGTGACATATCCCGTGTGTAGCCGGGATGACCCTAAATTTCTGATCCTCCACACTACTCCCGCCCTCACCCAGGTCTGGAAATGCATGCCTGCATCAGCACTCCTGGTTTATGCGGTGCTGGGGATAGAACCAAGGGCTTTGTGCATGCTAGGCAAGCACTGTACTGAGCTACACCCCCATCCTTAGTACATTTTCAAACAGGGACCCCAAACTCTGTAGAGCTGGGGCTGGGGCAGAAGCCAGCAGCAGAGGGTCTGCGGACTGAAAGGATGAAGGCAAAGTTCATGTCTCCACCCTGCCCTGCCCACCTTTTCAGCCACAGCCACCAAGGCTTTACTCTCTGGTGTGAACCCCTCAACCCCACAATCAGGGGGCTCTAATCCACAATAGCTCAGAGTTTACTTAGATCTAGCCTCCCACACTGCCTTCCTAATTCTTCATACTTAAGAAAAGAAAATAAAACACTTTTTTTTTGAGACCGTCTTGTTATGTAGCCCAGGTTGGGCTTAAACTTTTTTAAGCAATCCTCCCATCTTGGCTTGAAAATTTCTATCCTGTTTTCTGGAAGTTGTAGAACAGAATGGTGGGCACTGGCTGCCCCTCCCTACAGATGGCTAGGGTGGCACTGAGCCTGAGGCCTGGATTCCAGGGCTGAGGTGCCAGGCAGACGTGACAGGAGGCTAGGGGGTAGTAGAGGTGGTCAGGTTCTGTGAAGTTAATTCCAAGTCCCCTTCCCATGGTGTGCAAGCACCCCAGTAGGGGGCAGCCTGCTGCTTATTTGAGGAGAGGACAGGAGAGAGCTCAGTGGTTAAGAGTTCACCCTCTGCTCTTCCAGGAGACTTGAGTTTGGTTCCCAACACCCACATTGGCAGCGCACCAGTGCCCGGGGATCTCACATCTTTTTCTGATCTCCATGGGCACTGCACTCATGTGTACACACACATACACACATGAAAATATCCTATCTGAGGGGCAAGGGATCCAAGACATCACAGGCTGGCTCATCTTGCCTCTTCTATTGCCCCCTCCACTCTCAAATGACAAAAATCTCTGCAGGCCCTCTCACCCAGCCCAACACAGCTGGTTCAAAGCTACGGGAAGGGCTGGAGAGATGGCTCAGAGGTTAAGAGCACTGACTGCACTTCCAGAGGTCCTGAGTTCAATTCCTAGCAACCACATGGTGGCTCACAACCATCTGTAATGTGGCCTGGTGCCCTCTTCTGGTCTGAACAGAACACTGTATACATAGTAAATGAATAATTAAAAAAAAAAAGCTACGAGAAAATGGTATGCTCCCCCTCTGACAGTCCTGACACCCCCAGAGCAAACGGGGTTGGGTTTGTGTAGAGTTGGGGAGGGGCTGCTGAGCCCGGGCCTCACCCCTTGCCTCCAACTCCATGCCTGAGCATTCCTCAGCCTTAGCCTCAGCAGGAAGGGACCCAGGCGCCAGGGCTGCCGAGGCGCAGGGGCGGTGGTCCTGAAGGTGTAGTGTCATGGCGGCCGCGAGGCCATGGAGAAGTCACACTGCATGCACGAGTAACGGTCGTGCGTATGTTCCCACACGATGCAGCTGGGAGCTGCATACCCTGCAGGTAGGCAGGCAGGCCATGGGCAGTCCCAGGTTTCACCCCAGAGGGCCTTTCTACCAGGGATGGTGGATGTCGGCCAGGGCAGACCAGACTCTTCCTACGACCATCACCCTCAGCTTCCAGGGTTCAGGGAGGCTGGATCCTTTCTCCTGAGTTTGACTGCCCATTACTGAAGGCGCCAAGTTGGGCTCCCATCCCTGGACCTCCGCAAGGGAGGACCACTCATATGGAGTTTTACACAGCAACGCCGGCGCAGATGAAGGCATAGGTGCCAGTCATTTTTAAGGTAAAAATCATGTATTTTAGAGGACAGACACTGCTACTTCTGAGCATTCACAGGGCCCGCAGAGGGCAAAGGAATGAAGAAGACCCCTCCACCCTGCCCTGGTGGTCACCTGCACGCACCTGAGGGCGCATCGGGACCGCCCTGAGGTCTTCTGGGACTTCCGGCAGCACCTGCAGGAAAGAGGCAGGTCAAGTTCGGGATAGGGGTGGACCCATCCAGCTTTGCAGGCCACTGGCTTTCACACTCACCTTGACTCTTTTTCCAGATGGCCGTGCTGGAAGCTGGTGGCCCTGGAGCAGCAGACAGGAACGGGCGCAGACGCGGGGGGCTGAGGCCAAAAGGTGCAGGGTTCAAGTAGGGAAGGAAGGGCCCCGAAGGGGCGGAGGTGAAAGGTTCAAGTAGTGGGAACGGCAGACTCAGAGCAGACGCAGGGTCGGACTCTGGGGGGCGCTCGGGCACAGGTGGCTCTTTGTCCAGGGCAGGGGGTGGTGGCGGCGCTGGGCTCTGAGCATGCTCCGCACAAACATGCAGATGCTTGAAGAGCGAGCGGTGAGTACGGAAGCGCAGGAGACAATTCTCACACCTAGGGGTAGGCACAGGGTTACACTGTCTCCTGGGCAACAGGAAGGGGCCTAGCCATGGCTACTCAGGGACCAAGCTGTAGGACAGGCATCCAGGTTGTAATCTCTGTGACTCTGTGCCCAAGCGAAGGAGCTTGCCCTACGTGCCCTCCCTTACTGAAGTCTCGATCCTTCTGGGCCTTCCCAGCTCAGAGCCTCGAGCTTCGATTTGACTTGCGTGGCCAGTTTACAATGTAAGAAGTGCTGAGCCTTCAAACGGTCACTCACTCCTGTTCACACGGGTCTTCCATGCCCTGCGGGGGCTGGTTTCCCAGGCCATGCTCATATTCCCAATCCACCCCTCCGAGCACACTAGCAAGGGCTACCGATCTGGAGTCAGCAGAGGGGATGCTCAGGGTCTTACTTGAAGTAGCGGTTGGGCTTGTAGTGCTGCTTGCCGTGAGCTACCAGCTCCTGCATGCTGGGGAAACTCTCAGTGCAGCTCAGGGCTGAGCATCGGAAGAGTTTGCCTGGTGGGGAAGAAAGGTGGGTATGGAGTGGGGTGGTTAAGACCGAGTCTGGGGGGCTCTGTCTGTCTCCCGCCCTATCGGGCTTCCCTATCGCCAACCCTCATCCTACCTTCCAGTGACTGTGTAGGCGGGCAGTGGGTACGGAGATGCTGTGCCAGATCACGAATACTGGGGAAACTGAGGCAGCAGCCAGGGCTAGAGCAGGGTATCTGTTTCCCTGCAGGATAAATGCGTGTCGTCAGTTTTTCCATTCCCAAAGCCTTGAACAAACCCCCCCCCCACCACACACACTATTATAATAAATTGCCTGGAAAAGCTGTATAGGTTTGGCTGCTACAGCTGACATAGACTTGATGCTCAGTAAATGGTGAGGAATCCTAGATGGGATGCAAGGGGATTCCTTATCCTGCATCTTAGCCCTATCGGAGGACCTATGAGGACCCCATCACAGATCACCTGGTGGTGGACGTCGTCTGGGCAACCTCAGGTCCTCACTGGTCCCCACACCTGTGCTGGTTGAGCCAGGCTGGCAGCTGTCTGGGGCTGGGGAGGCAACGGGCTGCGGAGGTCCTCCACGGTCCCACACTGATGGTACGGCTGTCGGATTAGGGCCCGGCTCCTCCACGGAGGAGAGAGTGGCTGTAGCTGCCACGTCTGGAGACGCCACCTCCTTATCAGGCTCACTGGAGCTGGACTCTGCAGCGGCTAGCATGTCCGGGCTGGGCTTGGACGGTTCCTCCTGGTGCAAGAAGTGGACAGAATAGGGCTGGGATCAGTTTGCCCTGAGCAGAGGAAAGTGCTTCCACTCCGAAGGTCCACAAGACTCAGGTTCCTAACTCCCACCAGGCATTACCCGGCCATCCTGCTTTCTGAGTCACCAGCAAGATCAGTTAAGGGAGGCTAAGGGCAGACTGAGCTATCTGTCTCCTAATTCCAACTGCAGGAGGAGGTGTGTATCAGGGATCGTGCATAAAGAGCATCATCATGAGTATCCCTTCCGCTCCAACTTTGGCAGGAGAGGCACCAAGGGGCGGAGGCGTGGCCTAGCGGAGTGGGCGCGGGTCCGGCCTGGGAGCAGCTCGGGCAATGCGGCTGCCGAGCCCACAGCGGACCGTGTGATGATGGGGATTGCTGGGGGAGCTGGGGCTGTGCGGGCGACCCCGGAGGTCGCGATGTGTGACGTTCAGGGGCTGAACTCGAGCCGAGTGGGCGTGGCCCAAGCAGAGCCAGGCCTGAAGGAAGGGGCAGAACGCGCGCGGTGACAGTCAGGGGCGGGCCGGCGGGGACCCGGATGTGGGGGCGGGGTCGGCCGGAGGGGGGTGCGCGCGCGGCAGGACCGCTCGCTCCCTGTCAGTCCCCGCTGCTCCTCCGCGCCCGCGTGCCGGGTGCCGCGCTCACCATCCTCCACTCAGTGCGACCTCTGGTTCCCGTGCCTTCGGTGGCTCCGGCTCCAGCAGGGGCGGCTTCCTCGGCGACGCGAGCGCTGGATCACATCGGCGCCATTCTTTCCACTTCTCAGATCTCGCGAGATCTGGGGTGTGGCCTAATCCTGGGCGCTTCTCTAGGAGGAGGGGGGATTGAGGTCAGACTGCTGCTCTTAGGGCAGGTGAGAATTTGTAACTGCGAAAGAACTGTCTCCGGGCCTTAGCATCCTCATCTGCCAAACGGGCGCCGCCAGCCTTTGTCTGCACGCCCCGTAGCCAGCTCTGGAAAAGCAAAAAGCAGCACTTTTTCTTCTTTTTGAATTCCAGATCAGGTTGACCTCAAAGTCTCAGCCTTCCCAACTCTGCCTGCAGAATACTGGGATGACAGATGAATGTTTCCACATTGTCTGCTTTTGTTTGGGCTTGCTTTTTAGAGGAAATTGACGACAACTCCCCCTCTTTTTTTTTTTTCGAGACAGGGTTTCTCTGTGGCCTTGAAGGCTGTCCTGGAATTCACTCTGTAGACCAGGCTGGCCTCGAACTCACAGAGATCCGCCTGCCTCTGCCTCCCGAGTGCTGGGATTAAAGGCCTGCGCCACCACCGCCCGGCCCTCTCTCTCTCTCTCTCTCTTTTTAAGCCAGGCTGTTGTAACAGAGATTGACCTTGAATTTGGATACCACGACACGGGGTTTTAGACAGTACTAGGTATCAAACACAAGAGTTTCCATGTATGCCAGGCAAGCACTCCACTACAAACTAAGCTACATCCTTAGCGATATACACTACATAGTCAAGTGAATGTATGTGTGCCTACATGTGAGCACGTGAACGTAGAAACCCAAGTACACGCTCTCTTCCTCGGTGGTTCTCTGCTTTACTTACTGGGGCAACGGTATCGCTCCCCATAGTTGGAGCTCACCAGAAGATTCTGTGTCCACCTCCCAAGTGTCCCAATAACAGGCAGCTGTTATGCCTTCCACCCAGGGAATGGCAGAGATCCAAATTCTCCCTTATTTACACGAGTGCTGTGGGCCTGAACCATGTTTCCTCCTGTCTGCACAGAGCCATCTTCCTAGCAAGCTCCATGTTGTTCAGTACACCCAGTGTGCAGTAAGATTGAATCTGTGGGTCTAGGGACATGGCTTAGTTTTTAAGAGCACTGACTGCTCTTCCAGAGGACCGGGGTTCAATTCCCAGCACCCACATGGCAGCTCACAACCATCTATAACTCCTGTTCCAGAGGATTCGACACCCTCACACATGTACATGTGGGAAAAGCAATGTACATGAAATACAAATAAATAAATATAAAAAGAAAAGAATGAATCTGTTTGTCGGGGCCCATAAAGACGGCTCTGCTTCATCTTGGCCCTAGGTCAGAGAGTTCAAAACTGTCCTTAGTACGTCATAAGACCTAAAGGTCTAAGGATGGCTACTGCAGGATGATTTGATCTTGGTAGTGGATGTCTTATCTAAATAGCAACAGACTTAGGCTGACGTAGGTTCACTCTTGACCCTCAAGGCCAGATGTTGAGAAATTGAGTCTAAGATGTGTTTACCAAATGTTTGGAGGATTAGGGACAGAAAGTCTGTTTGTTCCTTAGGGTACTTAAGAATGTTGAAGAATAAACTTGGGGTGTCTTGTACTCACTGGATTGCCCTCCCAACTCCATCCTGTGTCTCTGTCTTTCTTAGCATCTTTACCTTCGTCTTAACCTTTCTTAGTGTCTTAACCCAAGTACGTTGGTGCAGTGAGGTTTCCTATCCATCCTACTTCCCTTAGGGGCATGCTATGAGCTAGGAAGGGACTTAGCACTGCTCTTGGGAGACTGGAGTCAACCACTGGAAACAGAGTGACAATAAATCAACAACAGCAGAGAAATGATCTTGGATCTATCCTATGAGATAAGAAAACAAACAGAAGAAGTGCGTGGAAACGCTGAGTCAGGGAAGCCTGTCAAAGGGGGAGACTTGAGCTGTGCTTTGATGTCTGGGGAAGCAGAGCACTCTGGGAAGCTGGCACAGATATCCCGAACTGGCAAGGAACAAATTCCCCTTGGCAAGGAACAATGAGGAGCTCTCGGCACTGTGGAACCAGAATGAAGACATGGTGTGGAGGTCAGAAAGAGAACTTGGGTGGGTCCTGTGGGTCGTGTGAGAGGTGGAAATGAAAGAAAGAATGTTTTCTGGTGTATATGTAAATGTTCACACTGGTGAATATTTATTTTTCCATTTTCATGTGTGTGGTGCAATGTATATGTGCATACATGTTTGTGGAGGGTTTTCATGTGGGTACATGTGCACATGTGTGTGGGTGCATGTGTACCTGGCTGCTTGTGCATGTGGGAGCTGGAAGTTGATGTGGGGAATAATCCTCTGTGGCTCTTCCTCCTTATTCAATGAGGCAGAACCTCTCAATAAAACCCAGAGTTCTTGTGCTGGGCATCCTTTGTCTCCACCATCTGAGGCTGAAATTCCAGGAGGGCCCCAGGGCCTACCTGGTATTTACTTGGTATCTGGGGATCTGAACTCAGGAGTTTCATGCTCTGAGGTAGGTAATGTCATGTGACAAGACTTTTTCTAGGGAGACACAAACACATTTACTCATCTTAGATAGGGAACCCACCTTTGTGAATCAAGAGTTTTATTGGGGTTACTTATAGGAATATGGGTGGGAGGTTACTTACAGAAGCAGAAATGACTCAAAGACAGTTTCATCACCAAAACCCACCCATTAATGAGTGACAGTTCACAAAAGCTAGGAAGCTGGAACACACTGCACAGCCTGTAGGCAGCTCAACAGGCTGGAGAGTGTCCTTTCCAAGTGATTCAGTTGGTCTAAACCTTTTCCAGACAGTTGGGTGGATCTCAGAGTCTTCTTTGAAGACTGGCTCTTCTGAAAGTGACTCTGAGAAACCTGTATTATTTACTCTGGCAGTGAGGGACCTAGTGAATCTGGTCAGTTTCAGGGACTTCCTGAAGCTGCTTTGAATTGTTGACCTTCTGGCTTAAGGAGCTTCCTGCAGGATGGAGCAGCTAGCTACATTGGGGAAGGTACGGCCTCTCTTTCTGGTGATCCTTTGCAGGATGGGCTTGGAGACAAATGGTTAAGTAGAACTTAGATCTTAGATCTATAGACATTCAACCATTCAGGAGATGTTTACTGAGTCATAAGCAATTGTAGACTTTATGTGCAGTATATTTTGAGGTAAACTAAGAGTCTGTACATGCCACTACAGGCAAAGAAGATGGTTAGAAGACATCTAGAACCTGAGAAAGATGGGGGCTGGAGAGACGGCTCGGAAGTTGAACTCTTGCAGAGGACCCCAGTTCACATGGCTGCTCTCAGGTATCTATAACTCTAGTTCCCGGGAATTGGCTCTCGTCTTCTGCTGGCACTTGTGCTCACACAGATACGCACATACACATAAACAAATAATAAAGTAAATCTTTACAAAACTGAAACTGAAACTGGGAAAGAGGGCCGGGGATGCCACTTAGTTAGTAGATTGCTCAGCTAGCATGCACAAAGCCACAGGTTTGGTCGCTAGAACCACGTAAACCATCTGTGTTAGTGCACGTGTCATCCTAGCACTGGAAGGCAGAGGGAGGCAGGAAGGTCAGGAGTTCAAGGTCATCTTCAGCTATATATAAAATTCAATACTAGCTTCTACCACATGAGATCCTGTCTCAAAAAAAAAAAAACTGAAACAAGGGCTGGAGAATTGGCTCAGAAGTTGAGAGCACTGACTGCTCTTCCAGAGGTCTCGAGTTCAATTCCCAGCAGCCACGTGGTGGCTCAAGACCATCTATAATAATGAGATCTGGTGCCCTCTTCTGGTGTGAAGGTATACATGCAGGCACAACACTTTATATACAATAAACCAATAAACAAACAAATCTTTAAAAAAAAAACTAAACAAAAACCAAAACTAAAACAAGTCAGGAATGTTTAATCTTTAATCCCAATATTTAGGAGGTAGAAACAGTCTGATCTCTGTGAAAAGTCCAGTCTGCTTTACATAATAGTCCCAGGCTAGCCAGGGCTACAGAGTGAGACCCTATCTCATAAACAAACAAGAAATCCCCTAACAACAATAGATTGTTGAGGAGTCCCAAGGATGCAGCAAAGCACTGGGAATGTTACTGTGCCCAGCCCTCTTTAGATTCTTTAGTACTGGGGTCACAGATGCGTCACCACATGTGCCTAGTAAGGTCTTATTTAGAAGAACATCTGGGGGATGGAGAGATGGCTCAACATACAAGCAAAACACTTGTATATGTAAAATAATAAAATAATAAATGTGCTAATTCTTGAAAACAAAAACAACCAGACAGGGTCTCCCTAGTTGGCCAACATGCAGAGAATAAAAGACTGTTGAACGTTTGCCTCTAAATGGCACCAATATGTCACACCTCTCCCTCCAGGCTCATTGATGGGAGATGTCATTCTGAAATCTGTCTCTTATTGGTTGTTGCATAAAGCACTGTTGGCCAATAGGGAAGCAAGATAGGTGGGACTAGGAGTCGAGGAGGACTCTGGGAAGGAGAAACACAGGGAGTCACCATGTAGGCGCCATAGGGGTAAGAAGTCCGGACCCTTTCTCCGGTAAGAGAAATACTTAGATTAACAATTATGGGAGTAAATACTTAAGTCAGAGATAGCCAGTAAGAAACCAAGCAAACTGCCAACAGCTTCATAATTAATATAGCCTCCTGTGTGTCCATTTGGGACTGATGCGGCTCTGGAACCAGGCTGGCAGGAAGGCTTTACCCAACAGGTCATCTTCTCAGAAGAAATGTCGCAAAGAGTGTAGGAGTCAGAGATGGCAGATAACAACAAGGGAACAGTTGAAGGGCTCAGACCCTCACTAAGCCCCTGCTTTGGAAGCCATGACAGGGTACAGAAAAGACCCAGCAAGACGTAGGCCTCTGACTCAGCAACATCAGAAGCCACCACCAGATGCCCTCCATGTGGCAAGGAACCAATCAGAAGTTAGCTGGTGGGCTCTGAATGTGCTTTACTGATAATAGTGGAACGCAGGGCATAGCAACTGCCCTGGGAGGGCCTGTAGGGTACAGCAACCTTCCTGCAGCTACAGCTGACCAACCAGCTCAGGACAGGTTCCCCTGGCCGGAGGTGCACCAATCCTGAGTCTGTTGCTATGCAACTAGCGGACCCCAAGACACTCCCCCTGCTCTACCCCAATATATGCCCTGCTCCACTGCTGCTTGGGGTCCCTTCTACTCCACCAACTGTGTCAGTCAGATGGAGGACCCAAGTTGACTCATAAATTAAAGACTCTTTGCTTTTACATCGGATCTGGTCTCTTGGTGGTTTTTGGGATTCAGAGTCTGGGCACAACACAGTGACCCCTGGGAGGTTGACTACACGTCAAAGCAGACCCAATTTCCAAAAATAAAGAGGCAGCACAAGCTAGATTCGATGGAGAGATTAAAAAAAAGACAGAAAGTAATCTTAAGGTTTATTTGGAATGGATGGGAGGGTGGGGAGAGGGTGGTTATGGGAGAAGCTAGGGATGGTGGTGAATATGTTCAAAATATTTTGTGTGAAATTCTCAAGTAGGTAGCCAAGGATAACTTTGTATTTTCACTCTCCTGCCTCCATATCCAGAGTGCTGGGATTGTGGGTATATACCACAACTGGGGACCCAAGCTGGAACTTTGTGTATTTAGACACGCACATAGCCAGCTGGGCTAGGGCCTTAGCACTGAGGACTCAACCTGGGACTGTGTGTATTTAGCCGAGCACTTGACCTAGAACCTTGACCTCGTTTTGCTGCAAGGCTGTGAGGTGTGTTTGTACTGGGGAAGGAAGGATGGGGTGAGGCCCAGGAAAGAACAGGGCCACAAGGAAAGGGGAGGAGGGGCCGGATGTAAGAAATTTTGTGAAAGAGGCCACAGGATGTGGGGCCTGAGGATTGGGTACGTTTGAGGTGACAGCGGTTCAGTCTGGAGCTGTCCCTAACCTCAATATGCAAAGCTGTCCTTCGGAATATGTCAAGCCCTACCCTTTCCCTCCAATCCCAGCTCCCTGGTCAACACTTAATCATCCACCATGCTTAGAAGCCTTATTTCCTGTTAGTGGGGTCTCCTCTATGCCAGTGGAGACAGGCGACTATACCCCAAAGTGCCAGGCGGGGAGAGCAATCTGCATGGTGAGTTTGAAGGAAAAGAATGGAAAACCCTTCTGCCTCTCTCCTCCTCCTCCCCTTCTCCTCTTCTTCCCTTCGTTTGTGTAGCCCAGGCTGGCCTCAAAGTTGCTTTGTAGCAAAGGATGACTTTGCACTCCTGATCTTCTGCTTTCACCCTCTGAGTGCCTGGTGATGCAGAGCTGGGGATGGAACCCAGGACTAGTTGTTTGTTTGTTTTTCCCGACAGGGTTTCTCTGTGTAGCTCTAGCTGTCCTGGCTGTCCTGAAGCTAGCCAGCTCTTGTAGACCAGGCTGGCCTCGAACTCACAGAGATCCACTTGTCTCTGCCTCCTGAGTGCTGGGGTTAAAGGTGTGCACCACCACTGCCCGGCAGAACCCAGGACGTCTTACATGCTAGGGAGGCCCTGTATCTCTGAGCTACTGCTGTCAACCTTGTTTATCTTCGTCCCTTCTGTTCCCTTTCCTTCCATTTCAGATCTGGGTTGGAGCTCAGGCCTTCACACACGCTCAGCGAACACTACCAACTGGGCTATATCCCCAACCCTTTACTTTTTATTAAACTTTTTTTTTTTGCTGTGTGTGTATGGGTGAACATGTTCCATGTTATGCATGCAGAGGTTGCAGGACAGTTAGCAAGAATTAGTTCTCTTCTGTCACGTGAGTCTTCATCATGAAACCCATGTTTGTCAGGCTTGGTAGGAAGCGCCTCTACTTGCCTCAAACAGTTTATGCACTATCGTTATTATTTTAAATATTTGGTTTTATTTATGTATGTAAGGCTTTGTCTACATGCGCGTGTGTGTGCCATGTATGTGCCTGCTGCCCAGGGAAGCCAGAAGATGGTGTTGCCCTGAGACTGGAGTTATGGATGGCTTGTGAGCTTTTGCAGAATGCTTGGCCAACAAGAAGCCTGATGAGACCCCCTGCATCCTTGTGCTTGATATACCAGCCAAGCTTGGTTTCTTGACCAAATGCAGAAGGAGAAGGATTAGATGGGCTTTCCTGGGCAGCCTTCCTCTAACCCCCCAAAAAGGATCTCAGATAGCCCAGGACATCCTCAAAATCAGCTATGTAGGGGCTGGTGAGATGGCTTAGTGGGCAAACGTCCTCACTACTGAGCTTGATGACCTGAGTTTGATTCCTGGAATCTGCATGGTGGAAGGAGAGAACTAACTTCACAAAGTTATCCTCAGACCAACACACACACACACACACACACACACACACACACACACACACAGAGAGAGAGAGAGAGAGAGAGAGACAGACAGACAGACAGACAGAGACAGAAATAAATATTTAAAAAAATTTTAACAATTAGCTAGTCAGTAGTCAAGGCTGACCTTGAACTCTTGATCTTCCCGTCCCCATCTCCCAAGCACTGAGATCACAGTCATGTACCACCATGCCCAGTTTTACGTGGTCCTGATGAAACCTGGGGCCTCATGCTTGAGAGGCAAGCACTCCACCAACTAAGCCACATCCCCGGCCCCAGAACTCAGTAATTTACTCCTTGCTTTTACTTGACACATTTATTGCCTCAGTGACAACAGGAAGATGGGAAGGCCTGACTGTTAAAGTCCCCTAACCCTGGACTATGCACAGCACTTTGTTCACAGGGCCGAACATGGTTCACCTCATACACACAAGGCAGCTGGGAGGTAGGTTCTGCAGCGAATCATTGGACATACGACAAAATGAAGACTTGAACAGCGATTCAACTCGTGGCAGGCCAGCATCAGGCACGGGATGAATCATTGGTGATCCTACACACACAGGGTCCTCAGTGGGCTGGAGGCCACTGGCCTGAGCATTCTGGCCAGTGCAGCCAGGGTAATCAAAGCTCCTAGTTGCAGGGCTTGGCTCCCTGGAAGGCAAGCAGGCAGGCTTGTGGCTGGACAATCAGATCTTCTCCACATAGTTTCCTGGGAAGAGACCTTCCTGGCCATGCAGCCGGCCCTTCCACCAGCCAGAGGGATCTGTGGGAGAGAAGAGCTGGAGGAGTCCAGTGTACACCAGAGAAAGAGCGCTTTGTATCTATCTTCTATTCACCTTGGATATTTTGTTGCTTTGGAGACACGGTATTGTGTGGCTCTGGATATCTTCAAAGCACAATGCAGGGGGCTGGGGGGATGGCTTAGTTGATAAAGTACTTGTCATGCATGCGTGAGGACCTGAGTTTGGTTTCTCAGAACCCATGAAAGTCAGATGCAATGGTGTATGACATATCTGTTACCCCAGCTCTGTGGTGAAACAGGAGGTAGAGACAGGAGAATCCAGGAAAACTCTTGCGTCTGCTAGCCTGGCATATAGGGCAGCAAGCAACAAAATACGCTGTCTCAAACAAGGTGGAAGGTAAGGGCCCCTAAATTGCCCTCTGACCTCTGCGTGCACACCACCACACACGTGCACCTTTTGTAAAACACAGGAGTGCACATGTGTGCACTCACACACATACACACAGATGCATACATGCACATACACACAGATACATACATATACACACCAAGACATGTGTGCATGTGTGTACTATGTTGCTGAGGTTGTCCTTGGACTCCTTACCCTCCTGCCACTGTCCTCTGAAGACTGTGATTATACGGTGGGCAACCCCACTCATTTTTGTTTGGAGATTGGTTCTGTCTCCCTGAGTAGCCCTGCTTTATACTCTCCGTCCTCCTGAGGAACAGTCCTCGAAGTTCTAGGACCATATGCTTGTGCCGCCGCACATGGCTATTTGGATCTGGAGGCAGGGCGTTGGGGATGGAATCCAGGGCCTTGCCATGCTAGGTAAGGGTTCCACTGCGGGTGCTCACTTCGGCAGCACATATACTAAAAAAGGGTTCCACTGCGGAGCAGCTTATTGGTGAGCCATATCCCCAGCGTCCCAACTTCCCTCTCTCTCCCATCCTCTCCCTCATCCCTCCCTTGCATTGAGGATGGGATACAGCACCTCATGGATGTGAGGTGAGTCTGAACTCTCTAGACAATTTGCTTGCACTCCTCTGTCCAATGACCTCCTTCTACAGATGCCTTCCTTCGACCCCCAGGTGTAGCCAGGAATAGCCATGACATCCAGGAGGCCTCACCATCCACTTCTGGAGTGTGTGATGAGTCTACTGCCCTTCTGGCGTCATCCCAGAGGATGAAGGTAGGAATTGGGTAGACTCAGCGTCCTTCCTACTCACAAGGATTCGTAAAGTCAGGCTTATCTGTAAAAATAAGACTGCAGCCTGGTACGGCGGTGCTTTCCTGTCACCTCAGCACACCGGAGGCTGAGGGAGGTGCTCCTTAGGTGAGTTCAAAGGCAACATAGCATGACCTTGTCTCAAAACAAAATAAGGAAGAGGCTTAGGCATGAGGTGTGATGAAAAGAGACCACAGCCCTATGTGCTTTAGGAAGGCAATGTTCAGAGACTAGGTTATCCAGACTGTGCAGCTCTGGTGAGGCTGAGAGCCGGATACCCTGTCTGCTTATTTATTTATTTATTTTTAGGAGCATGCACCACTGCACTCAGCTTTAAGGTTTTTTTTTTTTAATTACCCTTTCTTTTTCCACAATGTGCATGCATGGTTTGCACCTCTGTGTTGTATGTGTTTGCATGTGTGCAGGTGGCCATGTATGTGGGTGCACATGCATGTGGAGACCCCACATCATCATCCCCTTCTGCTCGTCCACCCCATTCACTGAGGCAGAATCTCTCAGCCAGAACCAAAGCTCCACGACGTGGCTATGCTTACTAGCTGGCTTGCTCTGGGGATCCTGTCTCTGTCTTGGGAGCCTGGAATTACGGATAGTTGGCCACACCCACCCAGCATTTGCCGGTATGTGGGAATCAGTATCTGGTCCTCAGGTTTCAAGGCAAGAGCTTTCATCTCAAAGCCATCTCCCCAGTCGTGTGTGTGTGTGTGTGTGTGTGTGTGTGTGTGTGTGTGTGTGTGTGTGTGTGTGTAGGTCGGAGTCCATTCTCTTTTCCACTGTGTGAGTCCTGGGGATGGAACTCAGGTTGTTAGGTTAGGTGACAGTGACCTTTACCTACAGGGCCACTCACTGGCCCTTGCCCCTAGTTGTTGCATGGATGGGAAGGCTATGCAGTAACGCATGGCTGCCTCATTGCGTCAGGGTTCTGAACACTCCCCACTCTCCACCCCAGAATACAAACCTTCCATGAGGATCTCAATGACTTCATTCACATTGAAGCTCAGCTCATCCACATCTTGGCCTATGTATTGGTACAGTGCCCGGCACCTCGGCACATGGATCCGGGGTTGTGGCTTGGGCCGGCCCACACCTGGCACAGGTCTCTGCCCTATGCTTCGCTTCCTCTGTATGCTGTAGGAGATAGCGTGGGTCTCATCACGGATACTCCTAGATATTTCTCCATCCCCTGACCACCTCCTGGGGCTGTGCCCTCCACCCCTCTCCACCTACCCTGCCACACCCTGGTCAGGCACATTGAGGAATTCTGTGTTGTGCTCTGAAGGTGGCTGTGCCCGGGGACGTCTGCTGGCTCCTAGGGTTGAGGATGGAGGGCCCTGGGGAGGCCTCTGGGAACTCCTTCCAGATGTGATCTCCAGGGGTAGAGGCCCCGCCCGGGAAGAGGGTGGTACCCCATTTCGATTCATGCCTATGGTGGAAGCAGAGATAGAAATATGTGTCATGTGTGAACATTTGAGGAACTGGCTCTAAGTTCTGAGCCTGACAGAAGATGCAGCTGCTCTCAACCCAGTATGGTCAGGACTGCGTTTGAGGGCAGGAAGTAGCGATGCTCACCTTTAACCCTAGCACCTGGGGAGGAAGAGGCAGGTAAATCTCTGAGTATGAAGCCAACCTGGTCTATGGAGCGAGTTCCAGGACAGCTAGGGCAAGACACCCTATCTCCAGAAACCAAAAACCAAACCACCAGAACAAATAAAAAGAAAAGGACAGAGTCTGAATGAAGGACCCTGGAGGTAGGAGCATCTATAGGGAAGCTTTACAAGGTGCTGGTATACCCGAGCTTTTGTGAGTGGCTTTATGTATTATTATATGTTTGGGGCACATACCTCAGCACGCACATCGAGGTCTGAGGCCAACTCTGTGGACTTGGCTCCCTCTTTCCACCTTCACTTGGGCTCTGCGGATAGAATCTCCTTCTCCCCTCTTCTTCTTCACCTCTTTTCTGCTTCTTCCTCCTCCTCTTCTTCCCCTCCCTCCTCCTCTCCTCTGTCTCTGTCTGTCTCTGTGTCTCTGTCTCTCTCTGTTTCTGTCTCTTTCTCTCTCTCTCTGAGACAGGGTCTCTTGTAGTCCAGTTTGACCTCAAACTCCTCAAATTCCCTGTGCAGTTGACAGACCCAGATTTAGATGGCTTTTTTTTTTTTTTTTTTTTTTTTTTTGGTTTTTCGAGACAGGGTTTCTCTGTATTGTTTTGGAGGCTGTCCTGGAACTCGCTCTGTAGGCAAGGCTGGCCTCGAATTCACAGAGATCTGCCTGCCTCTGCCTCCCGAGTGCTTGGGATTAAAGGTGTGCACCACCAACACCCGGCTTAGATGGCTTTTTGCGTGTTCAGCAAGCATTCTTCCACTGGGGTATAAGTGGTGTGTGGGGCTGTGGGAGAGGTCAGATCTTAAAGATATTCCCAACTATGCTTCTCCTGCATCTTGTGGTAGATGGGGGAGCTATATTGAGTTGAGCCACTGTTGTTAGATTCTGAAGTTCATAACAGGCAATGGAAGTCACTAAGAATTATCACCTCACCTTTGGGGGGCCCAGAGGCTGCTCGAGTAGGGGCCTGCGCTGACCTTCGAGGTCTTCCCTGGGCTAACTCCTTCCGTGTAGGCTCTGAAAGAAGAAAGAAAGCAGAAATAGATTTGAGTAATGACCAGGCCAGACCATGTCCTTGGACTAGCTCCTCCAACATTACTCCATACTGGTTCTGAGACCACGCCTCTGCTCATGCTCATTGGTCCTCCCATGTTAGCTGGTGGATTCCACCCTTTCTGACCCTACCCCTCACCCTCCCTACCCTTTGAGCTCTCCCATTCCAGGACACGCCCCACCATCCGCTGACAGTTTGGGATTGCTTCTATGGCCACGCCCCTTTCACGGTCCCTCTCTCTCACTGGCCATTCTCTAAGACAGCATGCATACCTTCCTCTATACCTTGACCCAAGAGGCCTTGGCCTCTCTAGATCAGCCTAGCTGGCTCCACCCCCACAAAGTTGATTGGTCTCTATTAACCACGCCCCCAACGGGCCTCGCCCTCACGATGCCCACCTCTGGTTCCCACGGACTTACTGGTGCTCTTAGGCAGTCCATCCCCGATGCTAATCGTGAGAGCTCGGCCCCCAGCTTTCAGCACAGCCAAGTCCCCTGTCCCGCGGGAGAAGGTGACATTGCGGGTACCGCCTCCGCCCCAGCCTTCCTTCTTCACCCGAAACTGTAGTCTAGGGGAGAGAAAGGATCTTGAGGGCGCCATTTGGGGTTCCTCTCCCACACCCAACCGGTGCCATGGTCCCTGTGGTAGGTAGGGGACACTGCGCACAGGCTGGGCCGAGAGTGGTGTTTGAATTGTCTGTGGGCGGAGGAGCATACGTGTCGCTAAAGGTGAGGGGCAGGGGCTTGCGCGCTGCCTCTTCAAAGCGCTTGCACAGAAGGCTGACGAATTCGGTCTTGAAGATACTTTCCAAGAAGCTGTCAGCAGCCTCTTCTTGGAGGATGAAGAAGTCATCCTGTCTGGTGCTGGGGAAAGGGCAGGAGAGCGCCAAGTGAGGGTGCAGGAAAGCTTGTAGGGTCCCATCTGTGAGGATCAAATTGGGGGAACGGAGAAGGAAGAGCCCGGGGAAGGTGGTAGTTGTGAAGAACCAGGGATTCGATCATGAAAGTAGGACCGGACCTGAGTCGCATTCCCTGAGGCTCACATGGTGGATGACTTTCCACGGACCTCCATTCAGTGCGCTGTGCTGTGTGCCCCCCCCAGATAAAAATGGGTGGGTTACTACAGGGCAGGTGGCGACTTGGCCTTACCTGAGGGACACCCCGCGAAGGGCCTGGATCTCCAGTTTCTTCTTGAGGACTTCACGCACCATACCCTTCTCCGGTCCCTTTTTCACCTTCTCCCTCCCAATCACATACACACACTTGGGGGTCAGGATCAAGTCCCTTTTGATGGGCTGTGGAGAGGCAAGGCCAGAGGCTCATGGCTGGCTGGCACCGGAGGAGGGTCAACTCTATACAAGGGTGGGGCTTGCCAGGAAGGTGACTGGGAAATCCCTTCAAGTGAAGGTGTGTGAGTTGCTAAATCGTGTAAGAAACAGGAGAAAAGTGAGGGTATGTTAGTTAGAGACGTCTGGCCCAGCTAACAGGTACAAGATAGAAGAAACGCCTGGTAGAGGCGACCCCTGTGTGTGTTGCGGAATGCTGTCCTCTGGATGTGACACACACATTTACCCTCAAGAGACTTGCCCAAGATTGGACCCATTAACTTTTGGTGGTGGTGAGAGACTCATGAGGTCCTGAGTACGCAGTTAAGGGTTGCTAGGAGGAAGGACTCATGCAGGCCCACCCCTCCTTGAAGATCTATTGGCAGCTAATAGTTTGTGAGAGAGAATGAGAGACATTTTCTCTGGTGGGAGGTGTAGCCAATTCTAAGTTGCCTATGGTTCTATAAGTAACCAATCCTTCATCCACACTCCTGGAAATAACCTGAATTAAACTTATTGTATCACCAAACTATACCTCAGTGGAGTCATTTCTTTGGTCTGTTGTTGCCTGTCCTATCTGGAGTGAGAGACATTTGTTAGCCTCTCTAGGAAAAGTTCACAAAGCTGTATGCATGTGAATGGATTTGCGCTGGGAATGGAATCCTTGCATGCTAAGCACACACATGCCCTCAGCCCAGTTTATGTAAACGTATGGATTGCTTGGGCGAGTGTATACAAGTTACAGAGGTAGATAAGAGTACATGGCCTAAACCATCTGATCATAGTGGGCCACACTTATAATCCTGGTGCTCAGGAGGCTAGGGCAGGAGGATCCAATGGACGGGTGTGTCTAAGCCAGGTCAGGGAAGTGGTCCAGTGGAATGGGCTTCTGGGCAAGGTGGATATGTTGCAGTAGACAGATGTATCTGGCAAAATGAGCATGTAGCTTATGGATAGGTGTGTCTGGGC